TTAAGAAGTCTTGAACTATTGCATATTCTACCTCATAATACTTCCTATTGCTACTATAGCTCTTTTAATAGAATGTTTTTCAATGTGAATCGTTATTGTAATCATATTGATATATTTTCTCAATCTATTTCTATTGTAAGAAATATTCTCAAACGTACGTTGTAATCTTATTTTCTATACTCTTTATTTTTTATAATCTTTTTTTTATTTTATTATCTTTATTTTATTGTATCTTTTTCTTTTTTTTGTACTAGTGGGTTTATCCCGTAAAATAAATAAATAAATAAATAAATAAATATAATAGAAAATTTGTTTTTAAATTATCATACCGGTATTATCCTGATCATCGATATTCTCCGGTTTAGAAGTTGGTATTACAAAATCCATGGTATTTTCCTCGTCAGTTTCCGTGGTAGTTTGTTCGGTTTGATAAGAATGAATTTCTTGATTCAAAGATAAAGATGGTCTGACGAGATTATCCGGACTGCAAATGTCATTTTCACGACGCATCGGTGCAGTGCATTGACAACGTCCGAATAAATCGGGAATGAGAAAATCGCAATGGGTATTTGGATCCCATAATCTGCAATGCGCGTGTTCGTAACACACTTCTCCCAATTTAGCAGCTGGGAAAGTAAAATCATTGGCACGCATTATACCGCAGGGTTATTAACAATATTTCATGGTGATTAAAGAAAATAAAAAAAAAGAAGAGAATGGGGAGAAAAAACGAACTCCACGATTAAAATCTTCCAATCTCGAGCGTTCCCTCCATCCATCCGTCGATCTTTCAAATTATACACGCTCGAATTATGTGTGCCGTTATATACCAACGGTATAGACAACGAAGTATGCCAGTTTTAACATCAACAACAACGAAGATTTATTTTAATCCCCGTGCATCTGTTGTCCCGCTTCCTTCCGAGTTTTATCGTTAAAAGAAAAGAAAATATACGGGAGAGAGAGAAATGATAGAAATTAATTAAATAAAAGATAGAAAAAGTACAATAATTTTACTAATATATTAACACATTCTAATACTGAGTTTTTCTAATACTTAGTACCGAAGAGAAAATATAATGAAATTCTATAACTGTTTATCGCAAATTTCTATCGTTAAAAAGCTAAGATTCAAATTATAAAATATATTTTAAACATTTCAATGTGTGTGTTGCAATTATTTATCGTTTTATTTTCCCTTAGATTCTCTTATACGACGTAAAATCAAATCAATCCTCGTTCAAACATATTACCAAGTAAATAAATGCATAATTTACAATATATATATCACTATGTTTGTAAAAATTTACAGGAATTACAGATTAGAAATTGTTTATCGTTAATAATTGTTACTTTGCAAATGTGGGTACAATGTTCAAACAATTGTGAATATTCTAAAATGATTTTGTTCAAAATTAAAGCTGATGTTACAGTAAAGGAACAGTGGTAAAAGGAAGAGATGAAGAAAACTAGAAAAAATCATAATTTAATTGTAAAATTAATTGCTTACGTCCTAGACAGGTGTGTCTTCGAAATTGTAAATAACCTTCGACGCATCTGCATGCACCTTCGAGGCAGCTGCTGTTTGCTACTTTCAACGAGCACTGTTCGTTTACGATGCAATCGTTACCCAATAATGTAGCTGTATAAAGTAATAATAATTATTATTATTATTATTGTTAACATAATAAAGATTTTTTTTTTCTTATCCAAAATTTTTTCTTATCCAAACTTATGACTGTAAGAAAAATAATGTTACATTGACTTATGAACATAACTATCAAGATAAAATAACGCTATTAATTGTAAGTTTTTTTGTATTTATATAAGCAATAATATGTCATAATAAAAAATTTTAGTTGCTGAGGAAGTCTCAAATATAGGGACGAAACGTTCAACGGATAAATATATTTTTTAATGATAAAATATCACAGGGAACTTGGACATGAAAAGAAGTAGAACTTAATTTGATTAATAAAGTAATAATTAGTAAATACAAAAAATAGATAAATATATATATATATAGAAGACAACGGAACATTACCATTCTTAGATATAACAGTTATAAGAAATAAAGACGGAACCATATCAACGAATTGGTATGTAAAACCAACAAGCTCAGGAAGATGTATCAATTACTATTCGAACCATCCTTTAAGTCAAAAAATTGGAACTATAAAAGGTCTATTATTTAGAGCTTAAACTTTAAGCAGTAATAAGTTTCATACAGAAAATAGGAAAAAAATAGAGACTCTTTTAAAGAATAATAACTATCCCATGAGTCTCATACGCATGGTATTTAATGAGTTTAAAATTGACAAAGATCGTGTAAAAAATTCGAATCCGCAAGATAAAAAATACATTAAGTTCCCATACATTAAACCTTTAGTAAATAAAATAAATAAATGTTTTAAAAACACCAATATCAAACTGGTCTTTTATAATCTAACAAAAATAAACTCTATTTACACCAAATTAAAAGATAAGGTAAACAAATTTGACCAGTCAAACTTAGTGTATAAAATACCGTGTGAATGTGAAAAAGTGTTATATTGGACAAACGAAACAGAAACTTAAAAAAAGATTAGACCAACATAAAAATGACTGCAAACCTACAAATGTAAATAAAACTAATACCACAGCGTTAGCTGTACATCATCTCATAACAGGACATAACTTTAAATTTGCAACTATTTTAGATTTAGAAGAAAATTGGTATAAGATAAATATCAGCGAAATGTTTCGTATATCAAACAATAACACGGTTAATTTTAGAACGGACACGAATAATTTAAATCACATCTATAACGGAATTTTAAATTTTAACCATAACAAATAATAGAGGACACCTTACACTGATGATATCTAGACTAACAAACACTAGTCTAGATTGAAACAGTTTTGTTGAGGAACTTAAATAATAACGATCAATTTAACGAAGTTTAGATGTTTTGTGTTTTGAATATTAATAAAAAGAAAAATGTATGTCTACTCAATGAAAAAAGACRCTGAACTGTAAAGATTAAGGTAACATATAAAAAAATTATATATCGTATGAGCCTCATGTATGTCGTAATATAAGAAATAATAATAAAATAAAATTTCTAGTTGCTGAAGAAGTCCCAATAAAGGGACGAAACGTCCAACTAAATCAAACTAAGTTCTACTTCTTTCATGTCCAAGTTCCCTGTTAAATTTGATCATTAAAAATTGTAATTTTTCGACGAGAGAAATACTAAATAGATAAATATATTGTTCATCTAATTTAAACCTGTCCAAAAAATAACATCACTAAGAATTAAACTTAGTAATATTATTATTATTGTTCACATGTATTAGAAATTTTGTAATCAAGAAAATAATACTGTGAGATATCAAACAAATGTGTGTTCGATGAGTAAAAGAAGATGAAGAAGAAGAAGAAGATGTGAGTAAGGGAAAAAAAAATGTATATATAATATTATAATATATGCAGAGAGAAGAAAAAGAAGAAGAAAAATATCGAGAGTAGGATAATTTTTTTTTATAATGATGTTACTCTCTTCTTTGTTAATCTAATCTTGATCATGGTATCACAAGCTAATTAGATTATTTCCTGGTACTTCTTGTTGAACACGTATTATAGTATGTATGTATATTACATTGAATAAGATTCTATCTTGGGGATACCGGTCTTCTTTCTTATATTTTATTCTCTTTTACGAACTTCTTATATTCCGATGAAAAGAAAAGCGTTCTCTCTAAAGAAGACAACTGAGAAAAGTAACAAAACGACGAAAAAGAAATAAAAGAATAAGAAGAAAAAGGAAGGAAGGAAGGAAAGAAGAAAAAAAATAAGATAAATGGAAAAGAATAATTTAGAAGAAGAGACTTTTAAGAAACTCACACTCGAGGCAATGTGTTCCATTGTATTCTGCGAAAAAGGGTTGACACCGACAGTAACCATAGTGGCAATGGCTTTTGGCGATGAAACTCTCACAATCTCTGTTTCTGTTGCATTCATCGCCAAGTTTCAGTTCCGTCAGCATTGGCGAGGACTTAGTTAAACGCTAAATAAAATAAAATAAAAGAGAAAAGAAAAAAAAACAAATAAATAAATAAATAAATAAATAAGGGAAGAAGTGTCAAACGAGAAGAAAATCATGCGAAAGAAAAAAATGTTTCCTTAGGGGGTTACATGGGTTTGGGACTTTCAAAAAAAGTTTTTTTTTTTATTTTTTTTTTCAATTCTACAACTCATCTAAAATATTGTATTCAATTTTGAAGTCGATAGGAGTAGTAGTTTTAAAGATAGAGCCCTGGGAAGTTGCACTCTTTAATGGCTCTTATACCACCACTCAAATCTTTAAACGCGTTTTTCTCAAAACGCTTTTTCTAAAGTCGGTTGTCAAGATTTCTCG